CATCGAACTTCTGGCCAGAGAAAAAACATTTGGAAGGCGCGTCTTTTAGCTTTAGTGACGTCCATGTCTCCTTTAGCTTAGGGAATCTTTGCGTACCTGGAAGCAGGAAGTATTCAGACGTCTCCCTCCACTGTTACTGGTGAACTAAAGGATCCGTTGTTTTCTCCGCAGACACGATCATTTCATCTCCTCCAGCTTGTCGTCGTCATCGCCGTCTCTGTTTGACGGGGCCGTCATCAGCACGGTGACCACGGCCACCAAGAAGCACTTCGCCACAGTGCTGGGCCTGCTGGGTAATCTGCTTTCCAAGGAGCACCTTTATCCGGATGCCAGGTTGGTGGATGATAGATGAGTGAGAAACCAGAGCTAGATGAATGTTTCCCGCCGTCACGCTGAGGCCGGTTCTGTTCAATAATCAGAAACATTCAGGGCAGCGATCGGCTGAATGAAGCATCGCTTCCTGGTCCTGCGCTGCTCGGCTTCCTGTGATTGGCTGAACTGAATGTTTGTGTTTGTCAGGAAGCTCCTGCTGACCTGGGCTCAGGAAATCTCCCTGCTGATGGTGAAGTCGGACACCTACAGCCCGCTCTTCTCCCTGCCGTCGTTCAGCAGGTTCTGCAGAGGTCTGCTGGATAACGGTGAGGCTCCAACCGCTCCTCCCTCCTCTGTGATTGAAGGGGAATGTTCACCGTGGTTTTTCCTCTTAGCTCTCCATGAAGATCACAGCATCTGCCTTCAGACGTGCCACAGCCTGCAGGTCCTCTCCCCCTCTCTGTCTACGGAGCTGCTGCAGAGGTGAGCCTCCTCCTTCTGGCCCTCTAGGCTTCCGTACTCTGTTTGATGTGCTCCGCTCCTTCCAGGTGCGTGGACGTCTGCAGGGTCCAGCTGGTTCACTCAGCGGTCAGAGTGAGGCAGGCCTTCGCCAAGCTGCTGCGGACGGTTCCTCTGGACGTGGCTCTCAGGTGAGTCGTCCTCTGAATGAAGCCGGCGGCGCTCTGAGATCCACGCTGATGGTTCTGCGTTTCTCTCTGCTCCGCAGTAACCGCAGCCACGCCCAGGTCAGGGAGATCTCTCAGGCCATCCGCCACCACATGAGCCGCTCGCCCAGCAGCACCTTCCACCCCCAGGACTTCAGCGACCTCATCAGCTTCATCCTGTATGGAGTCCTGCATCGTGGAGGGTACCAGACTCCTAAGTCCTTAACCTGATCCATCGTAGAACCAGAGACGCACCGACTCAGTCTGACCGGCCCTGTTCTTATTCTGATCATTTACAGGATCAAAATTAGACCGTTAAACTAGAGAGGCCTTAATTACAGCTAGAGCTGAAACAATCAGATTAATCAATTAGTGAAATAGCCGTCAACTAATTTAGTAATCAATTAACCGTTAACTGGAGTATAGAGACTCTAAACCACGTCTTTAGCTGACAGAGGGACCCACTTAGAGCAGGAATTATACCAACATTTCTATTTAAGATAAAATCAATCTGCTCTATAATCCAGAAAGTTTTAGTTTCACCTGGTTTAATTTTGTAAGAAGTCTTCTTTAAAGAACCTTTGGCCATCTGATTATTAATCAATTAATTGACAAAATAATTGATAGATTAATCAATTTGCAAAATTATTGTTAGTTGCCTAGTTAGTTCTAATTACTGAGCTTCAGTCTCCACTGTGTTTTTAAACTGCAGTAGCAGTTTAAAAACACTCATGTAAAAGTTGAAGTATCAACTTGACCTCTTTACTCAAGTAAAAGTGAAAAAGTATGTGCTCCAAAAACCACTTTAAGTATAAAAGTATGAATTAACCTTTAAATAAACAGCCAGATGCCACTATGTGAACTGAAAGCTCAATTTTTCGACTGTTTCTAAAAGTTTTCTGAGATAGGGCCAAGGATGAGGGAGGTCTTGTTGGTCTCCGTCTCCCGATTCGCTCTCGCCTGTGTCCGACCTTTCAGACATTTCAGCATCTTTTTCTGAATCCCACATTGTAGCATGGCATAGACAATTCACGTTAGCAGTTTGAAGAACACCTGCTTGCTTCTG